AAATCTACGTTCGACGATCGCAATGTCAATCCAGATAAATCGGACCAAGCCACCAGAATGATCGTCATCGAAGACCAAGCATTTATGGATCATGGTTTGGAGCTTATTAGATCGACGGGATCTCGTTTCCCGATTGCATTAGAGCGGAAGGAATGGCGAACCCAGGTCGAAGAGGAGTTTCGAGGAGCAATGTCAGGTGTGAGGCCGGAAACACGTCGGTCGGTCAGTTCCCGTCGTCGCGCGTCCTCTCGCGTTTACGGATTTCCGACGAATTCAATTTCTTCGTCGGCCTTAATCCTTGCTCCTCGCTGGATGCTCGTTGATCCCCTTTGTCCGGCGCATCGGAGTATCGGAGTCCCGTAATCCCGCGCCGGAGACAAATTTAAGGCGGACGGGCGGATTTCGCCCTGGCAAATTTCGTTTCCTCCGTGCTCTGTGTACACCCTTTGATCCCCCCGTCGTAGACGTCGTCGTCGCCGTGGATGTCGTGCCTATCGACTCTCCACACACCCTTCGAACGGCGTACGGAATCGTGTCCTCTTATTTCCGTTTCCGTGCGGCGCGTTCTTCCTTGTTCAGAGCGCCACCGATGCCGGGAGCTTTCCTTCACCGTTAAATTGGAAAATAGATAAGGGTGATCGAAGGACACAGGGATTAGGAAACCCTGTTCCGTGGCAGAAACATCGAATCACCGAATACAATTTTCATTCCCTACTGAACGCAAACACAGGGAACAAGCACGGGAATTTCAGTGGTCCGCGAAGAAATCAAAAAAGGATTATGCTCGCTAATTCCGGACGTGGCCCAGAAACCGGTAATTCTTTGATATTCCACGAGCGTCCATGGCCTTGTATAATGCGTTCCCATATGCAAAGGACCCTCGACCACTGAACGTTGTTTTCAGCCCGGGGCTACGTGGCCTGGAGATTAACTTCGCGTCATTCGCTAACCGGGAACGAAGTTACCCGTAAAAATTAGTGCCTTTCGACGACGCGACCGAATGAAATTGCATCGGAAGAACGAGGTTCGCGATTCGAAACTGAGCAAATTTCCGCGTCGAGAGGCCAGCACTCATGAGGGCTGGGAACTGCGTAAGTACATACTTACTCCCTAAATCGCTCGAATTATGATGTTCGCATTGGGAACACGATTAACGTGGAACAGGCGGACGATCGTCGACAAGAACGGTCCGTTAGATTTTCGAATATACCACAGGATTCTCTCGGATTCCACGTTATTTTTCGGGACACGATAATTCGAAATAATCCCATCGGCAACGAACGGTAGGGGTTGAAGAGAAGGGAAACGGAGCTCTTGATTTACATTAGGTATTAATTATTCGTTCGCCACGCTTTTTGCATACGAAATTACGAATTTATTGCGTACGCTCTCTTTTAATTTACCATCCGTGTGCTCGATGTTTGCGCTCGCCTCGGGAGTATTACAATATTTTGATGAGCTGGCACGCCGGGTAGAATTTTCCGAGGCATTTACAACGCTGGTGGTTCTACAAAAAATGAATTTAAAAAAGCATACTAATGTAACAACAGTCATTTTTTATGAACTTTAAGAACCATCTCGTCCGAGGGTGTAATTATTTTCCGTAATAATCACGAATTACAAAGGAAGCCTGTACAGCAGAAAACACACGCCATATACGCTTAATTTACGCAAGAAAATCCAAACTCTCTGTTTTATGAATTCGTCGGATACATTCCGTTAATAGATATAATTCCTTTGATAACCGTATCAAATATTTTCAATCGTAATCAATTTACATATTTACATTGCCTAAATGAGAAGTGATTCATAGTCGATCGAATATTCACATCCGCGGATAATTATACTTCCACGTATTCTAAATACCTGAATGCAAATGGCGTTCCTCGCGCAATTTCGATTCAAACGAACCGTAAGGGGACTCTCTACCGTGACAAAACCGCGATGGTACAACGAGCAGGCTATCGACACTGCTGTCCGCTTTCATTCGAACGCAACACCGCGGTGGCGTCGTTGTAACTTTCATCCGCGGGCGAAATTTATTTGACAGGACCCCGCAGATCGACCATTAATGAATTTCCCGATATTTTACAAGCCCGTGGTTGAGGGGAGGGGGGACAAGCGTCCTATCGCAGACGCGAGGTCCGCTGAAAGCGGCTTTTCCCGCGTCTGCAGCCCCCTTCCTCGACCTCGCGTCCAACGGGGGCTCCAGTATTTAAGAGGGCGTATATATCTTCCGGAAAACAGCCCCTGTAACTGGTGGCCGGACGGTTCCAATTTATTTGCAACGCCGGCGCATCTTTCATCGGCCTTTCGCATCTTCCAGCCACGCGGAGCCGATTCTCGTTCTGTTCTATCGGGGAACGCGTATTCGAAAGAAGAATCCCTGTCGAAAAGTTGAACTTAGAAGAAGGTGAATCGGAACCGTAAATGGTACTCGTCAAATGGCTACGATCAACTTCTATTCTACGGTATTCTTCTTCGAATATTACCTGTCGCGTGGACCATTTAATAGCGATGGACATTAAGGTGTAGTTAAGATCATTTGACAATGATGTACAGAAATAAACGTACATTATTTGGACGTGTTATATGGTAATAAGTATGGTGTAGTATAATTCAAGAATCACTGGTCTTGGTGAAGCCATTGTAAGGCAAAGAGGCTGTGCACTCCTTCGTTTTCCATTCCCCGCGATCGCACGCAATTCTTTGTGGAATATTTAAGCCTGTATTACCACGGTCTTAAGAACTCTCGGAAAGAAGGAACAAGGAGTGCTTAAATTTCTCAGCGACGTCGCCGCATTATAACCGTCCTCCTACGCCGCGCGGAAGTTTGCTACGTAAGCGGGCAATAAACATTTACAGGCCGCCACAAAGCACACCCCTCACCCGGTTAATTTTCATCCTTATCCACGGACAAGGCAGAAAAAAGAACCATTGGTCTCCTCTTGAAAATGGACGAGGAAGAGAGACGACGCGAGAAGGTTCCGACGTCGGCGTCGGGGAGGAATAAAGGAGGAAAAAATCTCTAGTAATCCCAAAGGAGATAATCGACGCTGCGCTCCACAATTTTTTCCTCTTAATTAACGGCTCATCGCGAACGCGAGGGATTACTTTTAATTAGCCTCACGGAGGGTTACAGAACACGGAAGGGCACTGGATGAGTTTGCCAAACCTGCATCAACGCGCTTTGATCGATTATACAATTATCACGGGTTGGGAATTCTGAGTATCCCGGTTCCGATTTCATAGAGAGCGCGGCCAAATTTCTTTTACGGGTCACTAATGAATCAAACTTCATTCGAATAATAGAAGTTGGAAATAATTCGAATCACTTCTGTGAATAGAAGTCACTCCAGAAGGAGTTTCGACGAATGATATTACATTTTGGACCGTCTGAAAATGTTGCGTTCCATGAAAATGCATCGTACAATTCTATGCTGATAGAATGTCCTATAGTGTATCTAAACACGTAGATGAATCCGAAGAATCTCGACGGCTTCAAAGAAAAATATTCTGTGTCGAAGGAAGAAGATTTTTTTATCAAAGCGGAGGAATTGTTTCGCTGCGAGCTATTCGAGAAGTTTCCGTTATTGAGACACTTATTCGAATTTGCATCATCTCACCGGTATTGATATTTTATTAGATGCTTCGGGACACCTGGCGCAGACAAGAACGAACGACATACAGCGTCTACGTTGGCAAGAGTCGCACTGTTTCGCTGCTGTTCCAGCCGTTTCCAACGATAGCTACGCGTACGTCTGATGCATCCGTTACGTCATGAACTGTCTGCATGCACGAAAGTTCATAACAAAAGGAATCGTCTGTACGCATCTCCTCCCCCTCTGACCAGACACGTTTTCACGCGCGTGAAAATATAGAAAACTCTCGTCCCGCCGGAAACGTATTCAAACATTGCGTTTAAAATTAGGGATAACAGACATTTCCAGGAAAATGCATTGTGAACACCAATAATCCGAGCTAAAAGCTTGGAAAAAGTATTTCTATCAACAAGTACGTTCATAAAGGAACCGTGATATTAATGTTCCGAGGAAGATAATTCCAATCTTATCAAGGACGGTAGGAATTTCAGAAAAAATTTACTCATAAACAGAGAGTTGAAAAATTGTTGAACCAAGATGTATCCTCTTTTATGAGAACCAACAAACATTCCTGCGCCATAATAAAGGCGTTCCGAATCGAAATTCCGACAATGAGTTCTCGGCGTTATTTATGTAATGGAAGCTATTTATCGGAAGCGGCAGATTGGACATTGAATTTATAGCTTTCTAATTTTCTCTCCGCTAGAGCGTCCATCGTCGCGTAAAAGCAACTGTTCCCCTCTTCTCTCTGACAATGCGACCGAGCTGGAAACGCCCCGGAATGATTATTTACCGCCAGACATTCCTCCAGCTTTTCCCGCTTTTACAACCCCTAACGTCTACGCGCCCTACGATATTATTGGTCACGAATCTCCTTTAAGTCACGATACAGTATTATCTAACAGCTATAACCGGGACGGTCGTAAACAGCAGTAAAGCGAGAAATATATTCCTCGCGGTCGTAAGTCGTAAGCTGATCCGTGAAATCGGCGTCTCGGCGACGATTAATCGGGAGGGAAGCCTTTTTATGAGAATTTTTCGTTAACGCGCTTCGACCCGCACGAGGCCCCGTACACATTGCCTCGTAAATTCTTTTCAGTTCTATCGTGAACATATTTTACTTCGTTCGATAAACGTTGTTTCTCTCTTCCTCTTAATATATGTATAATTATAGACAAAACTCGAGGCCCCCCAAGTTTAGATTTTGTTCACGAAAGACAGAGAGGTGAGACGTTCGGGCAACTATTAACAATTTGACAAATCGACCGTTGTGCCTCCGCGAAACACCTTCTAAACGGGCTAACTGGTCCTCGACCCAATCCGAACTCGATTTCGAACTGCCATCGACGCTCTGGAGGATCTTCGAAACAATTAATCTCCGTTTGCGGAGTCGCTTACCCTCCGGCTGATGGGGCGCGTAGATGTTCAGGTACAGGCAGTCCTCGCTCTGGTTTCTCAGATAGGGTAACAGCTTCTCCAGGTACTCGTACCGGACAGGCTTCACTTCGTCCCGCAGGTTCGGTAGCACTTGCGGGCACACAGGAGCGAATTCCAGACATTCGCGTACACCGCGCCACAGTTCCGGCGATCTCGGCGGCGAGAACCTTAAGGATCCGACAGGAGGCTCCGCGTACGGCACCCCTGGAACATCGAGTGGCGAACGTGATTGTCAATTGGTAATTGGTTTCCGTTAGAACCTACTCCAGGATGAGGTCGAAAAGGGTTCTTGGATTTAAAAGGAATCGAGGCTGGTTCTCGATCGATTTTACGAGGAAGACTCTTATCTCGAGAAGTCAGGAGTAGTTGGGGATTGATTTACGTTTCCAAGTGACTAACATAATTAAATTCTTGTATATATTAACGAATAATATGTTTGCTATGCTCCATAGTTTAATATAAATTAATATAGTTTAACCAGGAAGAAATTCTACCGTATGTAAATAGTCAGAGTAGTCATTCTTTGCACGCATAATCATTCTGGGTTGTGTTACGTCGTGACTGGTACAAAGAGTATCAAGTTCCCGGTGATCCTTCTAATTCTTGATGCAGCAAATTACAGGAGTCTGATTAAGCTTCACGGTCCACAAGGGGTTCTTAATTATCCATCGAGTCTAAAAAGTCGGGCAACAGTCGAAAGAGTTTAAGTTCCCGTCCGATGGGGGCAATCAAAGCTTTCAAGGTCGTTCCAATTTCCACGGGAACAATCCATACGCTTTTTAATCCCCCCTCGACCGTTCCACAATCAAGCGGTCCGATTTGTACCACCCATTCAGACAACCCTGTGATTTAATATTTTACGTAGGAACCCCGATGGCGGCACGGGAATCCAATTTAACCCGGGGAATTGGATAAAATGGATCGCTCCGGTGATCCTTGCCGCCAAGGTGGAACCTGTTAACACGGATACCGGACGAGAACGCGATCAATTTAATCGATCCGGTCGCGGTCCAATAAAACTTTACGGCGATTGCCCATCGCGACGATACGCGCGGGATCATCTTCGGACCACACGGTGTGTTCCTCTTCGACAACAATAAGGATTTTCGATTCGATCCGAGAACGCACCAGTTGATGCATTGAATACCGACTGGAAACACGTAACAAATACCACAAAACTTTTATCATGAGGTATGTATGGAATTGACTGAGACCATTCGGAACACGGTTCATAAACAGGTAAACATTCCGTGCGATGAAAGAAGCTAGTATGTGAATCATGATGAAAACATACGAAAATGTTTATATCTCAGAAACGGTTGAACTAAGTTCATTAATGATTTTTTACTCAGTACAGTGTGTCCTATGTGCCATATAAGTATTGAATGTTTTTCTTGTATAACACATATTGTATACTATACAAGTTAAAATACACTAATGGGATTTATCCCGTTTATCTGATAAACAAAGAATTAAAAATAACCGAGTTCACCGGAGGAAACTGCGTCACGCGAGTATTCCACGGCGACGAAACGAATCGTTGCCAGAGGAATGTCAGGGGCTCCCGTAGAACTCGTGAAAGTGCACGGCCGTTTCGGAGCGTGTGCGAGCGGAGGCAGAGGCGTGCACACGCGACACTCGTGGACACGCGAGAAAGGAAGAGGGTGGGGTTGGATGTGAGCAGAGCGTTCATTCCCGAAATAGCCGCCGTGCGCGAGGCTCTCGTTGTCGGTGCCTTTGACGTATCGAGATTCTCGAAGCACGGATACGTCGTCGCGGTAATGCGAACGGTAGAAGCTGATGCAGCTGCCGAGCCGAAACTTTCCCTCGGCCTCCCGCCAGGGCAAAGTTCAGCCGTATCGGAGCTGACGGAAACTGGAAATCGCGGTGTGTTATCGTTCCGCTGGACGAAGGGGGTTCGATTGAGGAAGGGGGGGTTGGCCCGATGATTGGGCCCCGAACTTCCGAACTTCTCGCCGTCCGGGGGATGATTGTGAACGAATTTCAATAGCTGTGATTGACTCCGCAGTGGGTGGGGGAGGGTTTAAGGACGTATTTCGAAGGTAATTTTCTGCGCGCCGTTTAATGGGTTCCCGTACCCCCAGCCCCGCTCCTGTCCCTATCGAGAGAAAAGTTCTCGTCACCGGGCAATAATTTTCGAAATCTAACTTCCGAACCGGCCAATATGAGATTCCTTTCACGGTTAAACGATAAGGTGTCTAACGCCCATTTCTATCTACTTTCGATCGAATATTATCATTCGGATGTCCGTGAAATAACGGACGAAATTGTTCGAAGCATTACCGTTTACGGGATCGAATGAAATTTAAGAATGGGTTTAAGCACACTCACCGAGGAACACGTCGACCGGCTGTATATCGTGATTGGTCCTCGGCTGGACGACTATCCCCCGTACGCGTCCCTGCTTCACACGGACCTCTCTGGTGACACGTTCCGGACCCTCGTGGAACCTCGAGTAGTGGCCGTATTGGGTCCTCGGCTCGTAAAAGTCCCGGTGCTCCGTGAGGATCTGGGTGCAGGCCAACAGCACGAGACCAACCAGCTCCAATCGCAGCATCCTCGACATTTGTCTCGGTCGTTCGATGCCCGGAAAAGTGTGGCAATGAATTTCTTTCCAACGGGTGCACCTTGAACAGCACCCCCGAACGGTCTCTGTGACACACAGAGAGAGAGAGAGAGAGAGAGAGAGAGAGAGACAGAGAGTCACTCGCGAGCAGGGAAACCGAGAAACAGTCCGAGAGGGAGGAGGGGCGAGGTAAAAATAATTTTTCACCGTTCTACTGCCACTTCGGCTTCCGTTCTTTCCGCCGGATGCAAGGGGGGGAAGCAACCAAGCCACGTTCGCCTCTTTCTCTCTCTGTTATCGTGACGTGGCCCCGGTGGCCGCTCTTGCTTTCACGGACGACACTGTTCCGGAACGGTCCACTTGCTCGAGGGAAAGCCGCACGAATTTCGTTCCGTGTGCCGTGCCAAGATCGTTCTCGAGTCAGTTTTTGGCACCACGTGCACGCGCGCGTGGCTCACATTTTCGTCGACCTCTTCCTGATCGCGTACCCTCGGAATTGTACACTGGCAGGTTTCGCGATATCACATTGTCACGGTCCTTCCGTGTTTCTCTGTTACCGTTCCACTTGGCTCTTCACGTGGATCCTCGATTGTTTTTCACCTGGAGGCGATCGCCGATTCCTGTTTACCACGATCGTTCTGGGAATACGATTGTTGGATGGAAAACCGAACACAAGCGTCACGGGTAAAAGTTTCACCGATCCACGACACTGCACTCGGTTCAACGCGCGTTCAAAGTACAATGATCGAATGAACACCGAAATGGTTCACGGTCCTGTCGTTCTAGCTTCGCGTTTCACTGTGCATTGCCTTGAAATATGGTCGCCAAGACTTCGAGACCGCGACCCTTTTCGGTCCCCGCGGTAGACTGACCGGCCTGGTGACGATTAAACGGTTAGAAGACCCTACGCCGTTCTGTGTCCTCCAGCGGGGATATTCTTGGTCCGAACAAGGGTGAACGCACGTACCAAGGGACGAGGGAACGAGAGAGAATGGAGGAGAAAGCGAGCTGGTGCGTGGCACTCTATTTTCGACCCAAATTGAACGCTCCTCTCCTGTTGGTAAACTTCGCGCGCGTTCGCGCCAGAATACGCGCCGCGGTACCTTCTTCTCGAGGTGGAAGATTCTCGCCGGTCGGATTTACGAGATCATTACGATCCTGAAAAAAACGTTTACCTCGACTACCTTTTTTTTCGTCCCGGTAAATATTGAAGTTTACGTTGTAACAACCACGTTAAGAGATGTATTTTACACTCCGAGTTTTTCGAGAAAGTGTATCAAGTGATTCTGAAACGGATACGGTCACAACCGGGGAAAATTGTTCGGGGGTTCCGGTGAAATTTTAAGCCGTCGCAAACAGGCACTCGCGTAAACAGCGTTGATTGCCGCAACGAATTAATTAGCGGCCAAAAAATCAGAGAATAGACCGGGGACGGCTGGACGCGCCCAACCGGACCCGGAAAAGCTTCAATTTAGCCCATTCAGACCGCGTACAAAGCAGCCATCAAAAGAGCTTCCGTTTCCATCGTGAAAATCATTCAACGAAATTTACGAAAAAAAAAAAAAAAAACCACCCCCTCCCGGTTGCACGCGCGCGTGAAACTGGCAAACCGGATTACGCGCTGGCGATATAAAACCGGGGCGCTGTTTTAACGCCCGCTTAAAAGCGGTTAATAGCGTTAAATTATGAATACCCGTAATTTGCATACTGACTAATTGTCGCTCGAAATAACCCGCCATTTTCCTCGTGACCCAGCTGCCTTTTTTTTCTACCTCCGCCTTTAGCAGGGAATAACAAAAACGCGTGAACCATACCGAGTTTACCTGGCACGTGACGTGTTTCTCGATATATTTCCAACGCAATTTACATCCAGACGAATCGCGTTCCGCGCACCGTAGGACCGCTCGATCTTTCCGTGGAGTAGTGCACGGTTGGAGAATGCAGTCACGGAATCGCTGGAATTCGCAAGAAAGTTTCCATGCCGACGTGTCGGAACGGAAACTAACGTCATTAGAGCGGTGCGGTTCATCGACGATTTCAGAGTGGATCGTTCGCGCGACGTTCGAGACGATCTACGACATCGAAGCTTTTACGCTCCGCATGAACGTGTTCCGAGTAAAGGTGAGTGTGTGGCGTAGGAAGATATTAAAGAATCGACGTTTATCGATTTCGGAAGAAAACACCCGCGAGTGGACGCGCGAACAGAGAAGAGTAAACGGCTGCTTTCGTCGAGGATGTTGAACTTTTGGCTGCCCTTGCGAGCTTCTAGCAACGCGGATATTCTTGGACCCCGTTCTACAGGTTCTGCATTCAATATTTCTCGCGGAATAAGAGAGTGAGGGACAGAGAGAAACAGAGAATCGGAGAAAGGGAGAGATGAGAAGCTAATATTGGATGAATATTTTTGTATGATTTTCTACCTTATACCAGCAAATGCATCGTATATACGCTCTCGGAATATTTAACAACGTTCAAGATGTTTAAGGAACATTTCACGCCAGCTCACACAACTGAGTTATTAGAGCACACAGTATTAGAAACGCGCAATAAACCGATCACAAGGTAGTTCACGAATCGTATGGTCTACAGAACGTTGAACAAGTTTTCGCAATTTTCCACAAACTATTGTAAATGGCGGCGTGGAGCTACGCCTGCCTCTGGTTTTCTACGTCTTCGAATCGATTCCCGAGTATACGTCGAGCACACGATGACTCACGGAATATCGCGTTCGCGAACTCAGTTTTTGCCTCGATGGTACCCGCGAGTGAACTGAGTCCGTGAGTGCTAAAATTAAATCGGGAACGTCGTCGAGGAGGAAGCGCCGCCGAGCGGTGCTGTGTGTCAAGCTGAAACTTTTATTTTCGGAGAAACGTACCGCGATCGGCCGAGCCCTCGCCTACGCGCCAATGCATCGTGTATTCCGAAGGAAAAAAAAAATTGTTCACCGACAACGTTTCCTATCGTGCGAAAGTTTCGCGGTTCTCGGTTTCGCGATCGGCGATATGGAACGGATATTCCGAAGCGAAAAGTGCAAGCTCGAAAGTTCCGCACCATAAAACTCTGACCTCGAAGTTCCTTAATGTGTCATTTAATTTCATTAAATTGAAACTCATTTTTCGCAGAAATTTATGTTGTACATTATATTATTAAATTACCATTAATACGTTAGTTCCTCGTTGTTGGGTAACGTGAGAGAACGTGATAGTTTCGACCTCGAAAGCACGAGATAAAGGAAGCTCCGAATCTGAATGTCAGATATTAATACATCCTTGAGGTATACCTATATTAGAACGACCATGTAACACGAACAAATAAGTTTCTCGCGCTCGGAGAGAGAAAGAAAGGGAGACTGGACACATTCTCGCGCGATCTCAAAGCGTGGCAGCCCTCGCTTTGATCGGGTGCAATTTAATTTAGCTTAATCTTAGCTGTGCCGGAGAGACTCCCTTCTTTAGGATCCCGACGCCCGGACGAAGTTAAACATTTTATCTCTAATGGAATTAGTATATACGGTCCGCGGGGCCGGAAGTGTTTGGTTTAAATGAAACACCGGTTTCCTGGAACCATTGTTTATTGAGATTAAGATAATTGAAGTGCACGAGGAAATGTGTGCGTGCGCTCGCGCACCAGTATAAGGGACACAGAAGTCCTGTATTAATCAAATTGTCGGACAGTTCTATTCTCCCGTGGAATAAAATAATCGCGTTCAATTACATTTCGTATCGTCCTCGTTGTCGTCCGGACACGGTTCGAGGTTAACGACGCGCGTTAATGGAAACGCCCAGAGTCCCCTGTCGTCGTCCACTCGATAAAAATCGGCCCCGAGCCTCGCCTCGTGGCCCAGGCGGAGATTAGAAAAGTTTCGTCGTGCATTAGTTCGCGTCGGTAAAGGGACACACCGGTGGACAGTGTTCGTCGCGTATAACGACGTATTAAAGCAACGATAAGAAGGCTTTGAGAGGTCCTCGAGACACGAGGCGTTCCCCGATGAGTGGCTACACTCCAGGAACATCTCATTTACGTTAATGAACTTACTTGGCGCGCTGGGGAGAGAAGCACACCGACAGACGGGCCCGCGAAAACAAAAGTCCAGCCTCGTGAAACCCTGCTCGCATGGGTCCGTCCCTGGGACAACAGCTGCGTTGTTTTTTTTTTCTTTTCTTTAAAGCCTGTCCGGTTAATTGGCATTTCAGTTGTCGGAGTTGTTGAAATATCCTTTTGCTTTGAAGTTTTGTTGATCCAGAACCGCATAAAACACGACTCCCTTTCGCGATTCCTCCTCTTCTTTTCATTTTCCTCCGTCGGTCTTCGGCTCTGTACAGCACCGATTCGCGACTACGTCAATATTTAACTGCGTTGTTTATTATACCGCGAACAACAGCCGACGGATCTGAATAAGAGGAACACTTCAGAAACTGAACCCCTCCCCGTATCGAATATTTACCAGTGAGACTCGTTTACCATGCAGGGATGGGGGAGGCACGGATAGAACCCGACAATTAATTCGAACGCAGCTCCCTCCGTCTTAGCAATTTCCACGACGATACTTTCCGATATTTTCCAGCCCGATTCCCTGAACCGTACTATTATACACAGACGACCGTATTGTTTCCATCCAACCCCCGGGCGGTTATCGATAACAAAACCGTGCCGCCGTGAGATTAAGATAAATAACTTGTGTGTAAATAGTCCGCGCCTTGATATACACGCTAATCCCGCTGGAATGTATACGTCTTCGAAGGGTTGGTTTATTTATTCCTACGAGGGATTCATCCCCGAGTCGGTCCCCTTTGTCGAGAAAATATTTTCCCCGGGGTAATTATTCCGACGATCGTCGAACCATGCATCTCGGTCAGTTCCGTAACAGATATTGTTCTTACGATTACGGTAGAACTCTCTCCTCGAAGAGGATACTCTGATTCTACGAAACAACGAGAATCCAGCCCCTCTCCTTCGGGGACACACCGTGGATCAACGGAAGAGCTATGGAAAAAAAGAAA